ATGATATGGATTCAGCTGCAGGTATGGTTACATGTTGGTACAAATAAAGTCAATTTACAATATTAACACCGTGCATTCTTATAATTTAGATACTCAAACTCTTTTTTGAATAAACTTGTAATCTACAGTTATACGAGTTTTATTCAAAGGTTTGAATTATATCGATGTGCTTCCACGTATGTCAATATGGTTGAGTTAACAAAATGCCGGTACACGTTTACTGTTAGTATTAGTTGCCTTTGCCGGACTATATAAGAAAATATGATACATTATTTATTAAAAAGTAAATCTTGAGATTAATGTTTATGAAAATGCTAATCGTTCCTGAAGAAAATACGTAGCAACATTCGAGCTCGGTTCGAAGCATTTCAGCACTGCTGGATGATGCGTGCTTCCCGACTTTGTTTCATACCAGTTCTTTTCCAAATGGCCCCATGCAGTTGGGCAAGCCACTTCATGACACAAGAATCCTGGAGATGCGATAAAAGCAGATCCCACACCTGCTTGAATCTTCCGATTGAAGAATATCTCTGAAACCTGTAAGAACTAAAACCTTAGGTCATTCCACGCAAGTGATGAATCATCACTCACATCCCTCAAAGACATATCGCCACTCTTTTCATGATATTGCTGCATAACCTTAACGGCCCCGTAACGATGCAAGTTTAACGGCATCCAACAACGGAAATAAAATTGCCATACCAAGACGGCTTCGTTCATATCAACAGTGCGAAACAATGGCCGAGAGTTTGAGCAAATACTATCTCGTTATTCAATGAAAAACGGACGCGTATTTATAATTGAAAAGAAAAATTTCCCGCCGCTGAACATTATATAATAAAATTTCCTAAATTAGAATTGATATGTTTGAATAAATTTACGGCGTGCCTTAATTCCATATTATCCTATTCGCTTGTTCACTCCATCTCCGCCCAGCCTGGCAACTAGGCTTCATTGTTAAATCTCCCCTCCGATCGCCGAACGCTTACCTTCTTTCCATCTCAGCATTACTGTACATTCTCAATTCCGTCATTATAACTTTTGCATGTTTTTCATTTTGTCTTCCTCTCATTTTTCGCTTTTTTCACTCTCCTTGTGCTTCTAACTTTGGCCACCAATCAGGTAAAAACGGCCTCACTCTGAATTCATCTTCTTTTCGGACTTGTTCTTTATCTTTTTTCCCTCCGTTCCCACCACTATCGCCACTCGTGACGATCAAATCTTCCTTTTCCAACGCATCCAATCTGAATAGTGCCAATCCAGCATTGCATATTGTTACTCTGGTCCTACCCAACTCTTTTCTCTTTGTGTCCTTTGACGAATAAATAACACTCCCCGGATGTATGTTCAAGTTTTCAATCGTACGGTCGATGGACAATCGGTCCGGCCTTGCGTCATTAGATCCATAAAATTGAACGGGTAAAATGCGTTTCCGTGTGACACCAGTATGATAAGTTCGAAAAGTCAGTTCTTGTCCCAAGTAACAGCCTTTTCGAAAATCAATTCCATCCATGTAATCGAAATTAGATTGTAACGGAAGAGCCTCGCCAGGTGGAAAGTCGATTATTCCCTCGGGCACACCATGGAGTATTCTTCGTATGGTATATTCTTCTGAATGTAGTTGCGTAAATTGGGATGGAAGTGGCGGCTTTTTCTTCTCAGATGACAACACTAATCTGAGTCCCATTCCAGGATACCGTCGATCTCTACATCCTATTTCGTCTATACCTTCTTTCAATACTAATTCGCTTGCCGTAATTTTATTAGCTGTTGGGTTGGGGATCAGTCTTCTCCACCAGAGGTTATTTACATCATCTCCCCATACGTTCCAAATGTTGTATTCGCTAGATACATCTTTTATGGTTACTTTTGAACGAAGCTTGTATTTATTGAGATGGGTTTCGAGGGAGGATAATACAGCCGAGTCGCATTCGATGAGATATATAGGATGAGGAAATGTTCGATTTATATTTTTTGGATATATGAAAGCATCGTATAGTACTCGCCCGAGCGAGTTGAGGAATGCAGTGTAGAATCCATCTCCACCTGACTGTAATGTATTCATGTTATTTGTGACAAGGCCTTGGAGGAATTTTGCTGAATCATTGCCCTCTATTTCAATAAGACTGCGATTAGGCACTTGTACGTAATGATTGCCAGCATGCTGAGCATGTTCCTTTTCGGATGATCGGAGAAAGGGAGATGAAGTAGTAGTCGCGCTGAAAAGTCTAATTTGGAAACAGCGGGTGTGGACGATGCATTTTTTGTGAATTGGAAACCGATACCTGAACATCTTTATGCAGGGCAATTTTTTTTTTCTTTTGTATCAGTGAAACAAATGAAATAAAAATAAAAAATTTTGATCAACCAATCAAATGAATGAATGGATTTAAGTACCGTTACAAGTAAACCCTAAATAACACATATTAATATTTATATTTTAACAACATAATAACGACTAACAAATATGTAAGTTTCAAATGCGTACGAGTTTTGTTGTTGAGTTTCGTAAAGGTTAAATTGCAACGAACGAAAAATACAAGCTGTTATAATAATAAGTGAAATCAAAATTGTACTCATTAATACTTGATAAAATAAAGTCGACGGGCTGGCGGTAATGGTTCAAGCTACTACAGAGGTTTTACTTTATCGAGTATACTGCGGCATCAACACAAATTGCTACTCTTGGTGGAAATATTGGACTGGTTTCGCGTTTCAATTACTTGACAGGACTAATTGAAAATTTCTCTGCAAGTTCCTGATTTGATATAAGCGCGTATTGATTCACAGAGTTTCTTCTTTTGCAGTCCCGTTAAAGTCCTTCTCATAATTAATCGGAGTTTTTTACTACCAGATAATGAATTAGATATATTCTTGCGTTTATTCTTAATAGAAGGACTGGCAGTGGTACTCATGGTTTCCGAATCAAGAATTAAGATTGTTTGGTAACACTATTCTTCAAATGGCAAGCCATTTAATTTAAAGAAGTAATCTTTAACTAATCGAAGTATTCGACTTATGGAGGTTTATTTGTTAAAAGCATGAGAGTATTCTCTTTATCTTACAGTTTTATCGAGGTTTATAATAAATTTTGTATTATGGAGGTATTTTTAATACAAAAAATTCGGGGTGGAAAAATTCTTTATCTTAAAGTGATTTTATAATAAGAATTTTCGTAAAGTACGAATGACGAAAAATACAAATAGACTAGGAAAACGGAAACCGTTAAAAAAGTCCGTCGCGAAAAAAGTTTATCATCAGTATTATTGTTCACGTGTTATTAAAAATGTGACAGAACCGAAAAGGGAAAAGGTGACGGATGGATGAAATATTACAGGGGTCAGTGATCAGAGCATCATAACACCTACGCCAACGACCCTTTAGATAGGAGACCACACGAGAACTGACACGGCTTAAGCGGTACCTAGCAACCTCTTGGCCAATGTTGCAGGTCTTTAGCTCCCTTTCTCGTGCGCTTTAAGCATTCTTTATGGAGGGATATCAGTGGTTGTTAAAAATCCGTTAGTAGCCTTTAGGGTCTCAAAGCTTCTCAATCGAGCCATAATCTGGAAAGGCATGCCATGGCGAGGTGTTAGAACTGAGTGGAGTTACACATTACTTGTGGACATACTGTATCTATGGTTTCAGCTATCTCTACCTATCTAGTCAGTTACGTAATAACCATCATCATATGCATGGTTGTTGTAGGTGATTTTACCTGTTAATGGACTACTTGTGATTTATCACCTATTTGGTCAGTAGTTGTCTAACGCTAACAACATCTCACCATCAATAAAAGGACATGCAATTCTAGAAGCAGTTCGCTATGGAAACATTACATCTCATCTGTGATAATATACTCTTAACACTGATGTATTATGTGCTACATATATTGTGGGCTATTGTGAATCTGCTCAAAAAATTGACACTTCCTGCTGTAATATGCTTGTAATCGAAGATGACAACTTTTTACTAAATGATGCCATTGACTATATTAATATCAGCAATGAACTATGGGAAAACAGTCTTTATTCAAATCTACCCGCTGCTGTCCGATTACAATGTGGTGCACGGTTTATGTTTTTAAATAATCAATTGTTGACGCTGGTATATGCAATGGCACAAGTGTTAATCCTGGCATTAAAAGAGTTCGAGTCATGTTTTGTTCTGCAACTGATATTAGAGATGCTTATAACAGTATTGCTTTACATTAATGGTAATTCTGCTTCAAACCACAGTTTCCTTTAATAAATTGCTTTGCAATTACTGTCACAGAGTTCAAGGATTGACACTACCAAAAATAGAACTTTTTCTTGATGAACAATTTTTTGCTCCAGGGCAAGTCTATGGCATTGAGCCGTGCATCTTGCCTAGATGATATAAATATTTATTCTTTAAATAGAAAGTGTTTAGAGTAGACAGAGTGTTATTACTGAATATGCAAGGCAGCAGACACAATCGATTTAATGAACAATAAAAAATTATATTAAATTGTGGGAGCTGATGCTGAAGCTGAAACCATGATCTTTCATTGGTTGATCAGATTCTATTCTCTAACCCCATTGGTTAGTTTCGGATTTCGCGACATTTAAATATATACTTACCCGCTTTGGTCAACTATGTTGCACAAAATTCGATCAACATTTAAATAAGCAGTATAAGTACGCCCACGAAATCTTTATTTCCAACCAAAACCCAAGTTGCTACTTCCCGTCGAAAGATGACACCACCTGCCTTGTAAAACAAGTAACCGCTCACGAATATTTAATTGTCTGATGTAAATGTCACGCCTTGCATACAACTTTCTACGTACTCACATAAAACTATTAGTCAAACTATTTAATATTGTAATGCAATCTTCAGATATCAGCCTACAGATAATATAGCGCCATCGCCGGACGTGTGTAAAATTGAAGAAGCGTCGGAATAATGATACCGTGGACTGGTAGTTTTTTTTATTGCAAAAAGTCGAAGCAGACAAATCAGCTAAAAAAAGAGTTCGAAGAACCTACGCCTCTCTACTCGTAACTCCTTTACCCTATATCAACACCATTCCCTGTCACTTTCGCTTTCGATACCACTCCTACACACCAAATAAAAAACCATCCCTTAACACTTCACAAACAACTTCAACAACCATCCCACACCCTCCCAACTTTTAACTTCATCTCAACAAATGTACGAATCCCTATCGAATATCCTACAATACCCACTCCTACTCCTAATCAATTACGAAAACGAAAACGGCCTAATAAAATAGGAGTTATTGGATTGGTTTTTCATTTTGATTTTTGTGTCACCTAATAAGTTAATATAAATATCAAACCATACCTGCTACACTCACCCAACCCATAAACTCCATTATAGCACGAGTTCCACAATAGCATGTTGATTTTTATAGTAGAATTCTTAATATAATTCCATTATATTGTGAAATTTATACTTCAAAAATCGGAAGGCTAGTAATAAATGTTAATAGATATATCTTGTAAGCGAAAGACTTGGAGTTTTGCGTCCTTTTATTAGCTACACCTACGATTGAAGCAAAAGACTTGGCGTAATCTTTACTGCATTCAATAAAAGTAATAAGATGTTCGTGTTATTATTATATTCAATTTAACCAATAAATCGAATTTGATCCGTTCTCATTCTTATTGGCTAAAGCCCTATTTCCATTATAGTGCGACTAATTGTGAATAGACCGATTTATCCAAAATTCTATTATAGCTAATAACGCGATTTACTATAAAAATCCATTGTACCGAGCGATTTTTAAAAAGTTCTTTTATAAGCGATTCCATTGTAGCGAGATTTATTAGTATTAACTGACAACTTAATAGTCAATAAGGCATTCGTATAATAATCTTATACTCATATACTTTATTGCAGCGATTGCGTGAGACTTTCCTTTGAGTAATTCCTTTTTTTCTCCCTTTAATACGGTACATGTTGATTATAGTTTTCTGTTGTTTACTACAGTCTGACCTCGATACAGCGAATATGGCACTATAAATAGTGAAAAATTCCGTTGATACAAATCAGTATTATTAAGAACTTTATTATATTGAAAATTTTCGATATACAGCCAAAGCTCGTTCATTATAACAAGCTTTGACTGTAAGTGAATTTCCGATATTGTGAAGAAAATCCTTGTTGACTTTATTATATCGAAGTTAGTATTAGACGTATATTAATATAGTAAATATTATTATTTTGTTAAATATGTTAACATCATTTGAACCCCTGGCGTTACAAATAAGCTTACTGTTATCAATACATACTGTATAATACGACATCGTATTTGTAATCTTATCTACGTCAGAGATGCACAGAATAACGATAAGGCAATTTATATAATCGTAAAACATCGAATCACTTATATCGGCTGTCATTTGCAGCAAGTTTATAAATTTCATAATGACAACCCACAGCTTTTTTTTCCTTAACAAAGATAACGAAACCTTTTATCTAACTTAAATAATCGACCCAATATTGATGACTCTTAGAACCGTTCGTAAAATATATCCAAACTACCAACAACAGCCATCATCACCGTCACAGCAACAAACATCTCTACAGCTAAGCAATTATCCGTTCTCCTCCTTTCAATCATTGAACACTTTGTCATGCTTCAACATACAACTTTTCTTATTCCAAGATAATGTCGCAAAAACGGTATACGATAAGTTACATTATTCGTATTAAAGTTAATGCGATCAGATGTCAGAAACACGTGTTACGATGCCACATTCATCCACAGAACAATTGGTTTAACGAGAAGCCTTGTGAACAGTTTGTAGTAACAATAAGAACAATTATTCCACCACGCCGCACAATAAAATAAAGACATTATTACCGATACATGTGACTAGATTTCCTCTTGGCAAAACTATTTTATTAGGTTCTGCGTAAACGTGGAACACTCATTCGTGCGAGTCCCCCTCGCTGATTAAAAAGATTATAAATACATTCCCGAATTTTTTTCGTAAGAATAAAATTTATCTCATTCTAGACTCGCTTTACTGTTATATTTCGTTTAATACCAATAAGCGAAAGATGAGTATTACATTAAAAGTATTGTATATAAGAGTAAACACTATCGACACCCCGATTCAGCTACTATTTCTTACGCCAAAATAGCGGAACTCCCGATCGGGAAAATCCCAAAAGATAAATATTGGTATTGTTTGTGCAGGTTCAAGCGGAATAGCCGCACTTTACGAACTTAGTAAGATTGCGGCTGATGGAAATAATTTAATTACAGTTTCCTCTTCTCAAACAAAATCGGTTTTACACAAAAAAGAGGAGGACGGACATCCGCAGCTACGGTCTGTGATGGTTTAGAAGTGAAAGCGGTATACAAAGTCGGTGATAAGCTAAAATTTTACAAATAAGCGGTATACAAAGTCGGTGATCAAGCTAAAATTTTACAAATAATCAGGGTTTATTATACACTATATACAGGGAAACTTTCAAAACATTTACTCATTCGTGTCCCGAATTAGAAGGGGGGATACTTTTGCACCCTACTGTATATATATTGTTGAATTGTGTGATGTTATAGTTTTTCCTTATATTCCGAATTACAGCCTGGGGCTTGTTATCTTGGCAGGAAACATGTACAACGTCAGGCAGTGCAGGTGCGGAAAGTTGCTAGAAATGTGTGTGGCAACGTTAATAATGTTGTATGGGGAGACATTCGCGTAACTAACATAGGTTTCATTTATTGGTTGAATGACTTTGTAATAATGCCTACTGCCGTTAAAGTACATTACTCGTACACCAGATAAAAGTATCGCCAGCGACGAAGCGGGGGGCGCATAAATTTGAGCAAAAACTTTTTTTCAGAGATAACGCAGAATTTATTGTAGCTTATAAGAAAAAGGACAATATAAGAATTTTTAAGTGGCATTTTTGGATAAAGATAGGAAAGAAATGTGGAACGATTGCTTAAATAGATGACAAATCGAGAACAAATTTTATATTTTGGGGAATGCAAAAAAGTTTTTGAGTTATGTTGACTATATTTGCCAATAATTTAATATTTATAGTGTGCGACAAAAAAGTTAAGCACTAATTAAACTTGTTAATTTAGCTCAATTCATACAAGCAAAAAATCTAAACAACAATTTTCTGTTGTGGGCGAACTTGTGCAAATTAAGCTCAACAAACGAAAGTTGTTCTCTTATTAAATTATTGAAATGAAACCATCAGTTCTGTCCGGCTAGCAAGGGCAACAAGCTATCAGCTACAACCGTGCGATATTATGTTAAAACTGGCGCATTAAAGCGTAGAGAAGTTGGAAATTTTTGGCAGAGGAAATGAAAATTTATTTCGTTTTAAATGGGAAGCAATCATTTCATCGACAATTATCCTTTTTTGGTAGTTAATTGTCGGTGAAATGTACTGTCGGTGAAATGATTGTCGATGAAATAATACGGACCTGTTTTAAATTGGCTGCGACACCGTTTTGAAAATAACGGTGAGTAAATTGATTTTACTTTTCAAATAATTGTAATGTATTATTATTACATTTTGTGCGATACTGAATTTACACAGTGAAATTCACTTTAACGAACTCTCACTTGAACGAAGATGACTTTTTTTTCTGGAATCAGTTCGCTTTTAACAAAATAATTTCGGATAAACGAAGATTTATATATAAAGCGCTATATAACGTTGAACAGAGTTTTCATAAAGACCATCATTATAATAATATAATGAAGTTTGTTATACAATTAATAATCAGAATCATCGATCTCAATCTTTCAATCTACCATCAATAGCTTCCATATTGTTGTGTCTCCTTTCAATAAGACTGTGAGAACATTCCCTTGTCTTGTTATATTGTTTTTTTCTATTATAAGCTTGCTCTCTATCAGTGTCGTGTCGCCGTCAAATAATATCGAAGATACTGGAATTAAGTTCCAAAAAATACGAAGCGTCCATGTTAAAAAAACTACTGGAGAATTAGAAAGGTATCATCGACAGAAGACATGCAACAAGAGGAGTTAAATATGGAATTGCAAACCTCAAGACAAACAAGGATTCACGAGATTTTGTATTGTAGCCAATATTTTTATTTGATATCATATTGACAAAAATCACGTGAATTATTCCACGGAGGGCTTCGTTAAAGTGAATTTCACTGTGTAGTTAGTTACTTTTTGTATTAGTCATATTTAGCATGACAATAATAATGAAGCGAAAAAGTATTAGACTATAAGCACCTCTTACCCTTGGACGTAGTACAATATCGCAAATATAAGAAAAAAATACAATAAATAAAAATAAAGTGCAATAAGCAATACAATGTAACACTTGTTCACTTGAAAAAATTTTCTATAATTCAAACTATTGCTATGTCGTTAGCATCAGGGACTGCTAATAATCCAGCAATCAACAACTTGGTTCAATCCTCCTTGGAAATTGAATATAAATGCTTGAGGCTTGAATGGATTCCTAACCGGGAAATTACCAACATAGAGCCAACTGAAATTGACAACGTCTATTATGCTGTTCGACATAATTGCACGATAATACTGGTATTCCTCGGAAGTAGCGAAGAATGCACACCAACACTTGTGAGTGAGTTTGCTAGAATATACTCACTTCCGACACACAAGTATAATAATGATGTCAGTCAATTTAGACGATATAGGATATGGCTTAACTATCGCAACAAATTCATTGATGGATTTACCAAGTCTAATGACAAGTATTACATGGTTGCTTGTTCACACTTTTACTACTGTTATTCCCGATATGGATTCTGCACTGCATGTGGAATACTCCGACGTAGTCCCGTGTGGTGCATTTGCGGACATAAACAATTATCCGATGGATGGACTAGCAACAATAAGCAGCTCGATGACTTTATTAAGAAATCTCAATTACAAACAAACTCACCAAATCATGCCTATTTGGAATGGATTCCATTTGATTGTATTGATGATTGTGGGGAAGATAGAATATACTTACATGGTCTACCTACATCTAATTTTGCAACTCTTAAATTGACTCCGCTTGAAATAACGGATGAGACAGATGACTTATATTATGACAAGGTGACTATCAAGTACGAATGTATTATGTTTATACATTGTTTAGCTAAATATTGACTTATGTATAATTTTCACTAGTTATGTGATGAGCATCCAGATATTCTTGCCACGGATGTTTGGGCTACCATCGGGTTTACATACAATGCAAGTAAACAGAAGTATTGTCTCATAAAAGTTGACGATGGAATATGTCTGGCATGTATACATCAGTTAGAACCCAAGATAAATGCACTCTGCTTCAACTGTAAAGCGCCAAGACTACGAGATTGGACTACGGGCAACAAGTCATTGGATTCATTTCTAATAGAGTCATGGAAGAATACAAGTAATAAACTCGATGCCTACATACAATGGATAGAGTATTCCCTATTGACAGACGTACGAGAAATGACATTATTACGCCATGGATGCACACACGTAGCAGATTGGTTAGAGCAGACAGCGGATGAACCGACGAGAGTGATACTCAAACGGATAGTTGACGACAAAAACGATCAGTTATTCGATTTTCATCAGGTAAATTATCTCGCGCATAAACTATGCGAATAGTATTATTAACGTGTGTATCGCGCGTTTAAAAACAGATTATTGTTGTAACGATTGTATTTGTTTACTCAAATAGCTGACCAAAGAATACCCAGAGATATTAACACCCGAGAATATTTGGATAATTGGGATCACTCAGCAGCCATCTACTCAGGAATATTATTTAGTTTTCTATCACGATATACATGAACTATTGGACAGGTTTATACGAAATCAGGAATGTGTATGGTACATGCAGTATAGCAAGTTTGGCAAACTCGAAGAGATCGGATCTGGTGGTTATGGAACAGTTTATACTGCCGAATATAAAGAAGAAGAGAATATGCCACGAATTGTTGTACTCAAACAGTTTAAGAGTTTTGATGAAATGCCAGAATTATTTATTTCTGAGGTAAGCAATAATTGGTAGTATTATTATTATTAAAGTGATATTTATTTTGACACTGTATTTTTTTATTTAATAGTTCAGAAATCATGTCAAGTTGGTAAATGAGTGTGGTTCTCATTATTTCCTTGATATTTATGGAGTGACACAACAACCAGAAACAAACGAGTACATGATTGTTAAGCAGTATGCTAACAATGGTAGTCTTTTGTCTTATTTGGATCAAAATATTAACAAATTGACGTGGAAGATGAAATTAAGCCATTTGAGGGATATTGCATGGTATCTGAATATTATTCATGCTACAGGATTAGTGCATTGTAATCTTCATGGCGGAAACATCGTTTTGCATGATAATATGAATAGCACTGGCTCATTCATATGCGATTTCGGTCTCTCTCGATCAGTGAATTCATGCAAGTCGACCATTCGAGGCACTTTACCCTTTATTGCACCGGAAGTCTTCCATACCCGCAAATTTACTCGGAAATCAGATGTGTATTCTTTTGGTATCATTATGTATTTGATTGCTACTGGTGAACCACCTTTTAGAGATAGGCAGTTTGATAGAGATTTAGTACACAACATTATGGGCGGACTACGACCATCGATGCCTGATTCCGCACCAGAGGAATACAAGAAAATTGCCGAGCGGTGTTGTGATGCTGATCCTGATAAACGTCCAGATGCATTGACACTTCATTGGAGTGATATTTACAATCTTGTTAAAGAGGTGGAAAACGACAATTCTGACATATGGAATGCCGTTTATCATAATGATGTAAAACCTTTATCACGTCTCGAGAAGGAGAGTAAATATTCTAGTATGCTCTTACCTTCTGGAGAATTACATCAGTTCCCCTTATCAGATTTCAGCTTGCCAAATTTAGAGGTAGAGTTAGGGGAGGTTGACAAGAATAAGGGAGGTAGTTTGGATTCACCCCCAACTGAGTCACAAAATAAACATGGGACGCTGAACGAGATCTCTGTCACAGAGCATCGTATGTCAACCAGTAGTATTACAGATTGAGTCACAAATTTACCCAAATTAAAATAATCGAATGTCGATTTATACATATGTAAAGTGAATTTCATTTTTCTTATGGCATAGCATGACAAGAATAATGAAGCAAAAAAGTATTAGACTATAAGCACCTCTTACCCTTGGACGTAGTATACAAGATTCGTCGCGAATAAATAAAGTGCAATGCAATGTAACACAAGCGTTGAGAGATTTGTTCACTTGAAAAATTTTTTCTATAATTCAAACTATGTCGTTAGCATCAGGGACTGTTAATAATCCAGCAATCAATAACTTGGTTCAATCCTCCTTGGAAAGTAAATATGAA